ATTTCTTCCTCTGTCGCTTGACGAGTAGAAGTTGACAAATGCTTGATTCTCATGATCGCCTCCAACGTCGATTTCGTAATTCCGAAGAGCTCCTCCAAGCAATAATGCTTATCCAGTATGGTTTTTGTAAGGGGACAGTTGCGAGTCTCAAGCGGTTCAAGGATACTGCTTGGTGTGAGACCATGGATGCCAGGATTTCCCAGAGTGTCGATACAAATGAAAATTTGGCACAACGTCCAGAAACATTCACTCTGGGTGGCATTGCTTGCTATGGTCGAACGTAACCAAGACCTTCCACCGGCCAGATGGGTACGCCAGGTTGCAGAGGCCCCTATCATGACCTCAATGGATGACATGGTAATGATGGTGGCTAGAATAGCTTCCCGGTGCGACGAGTCGGCTTCGGCTTCGTTCTGCGATAAAGCCATCCACAGATGACGGAGACTGATTTCATGATGTTTGGTACCCAGTGCCTCCACATATCCAGGAGAAGCTGGAATTCGAGCCCGATTGAAGGCAGAGACGGCATATATCGCGTGTAGCAAGGCTACATTGGCAGAAGAACTCCTGCTCGAGTCCGATGCTGCAAGCGCCAGGGGAATAAATATCGTGCGAAAGGGGTTATCCTGGCGTGGCGTTGGTAGCATCATTTCGCTTAGTTCAGTGATCCAATAGTGCAAAAGCGTACGCTCGTCTGGTGAGGCGGATGATATATAAGTCGTGATATGTGGTTGAACTTTCTGTTTGATGGATATCATGGCCATTGCCGCATCAGGATGCTCATATTCGGCAAGGTTGGCCTCAGCCATGCATGAGTGCTCATTGTTGTCTTCTTCACTTCCGTCAAGACTGGAAACGATTCTCGGTGAGGCGGACACGATTGAGGCTGCAGACGCATAAACATGGCTTTGTTGACTCCCTTCTGCGGGGTTAGTCGTGGCAGTGTCCTTTGCTATCAGACTATTAATCTGACCAACTCGCTGGGGAAGAGAGGGTTCATGGCTGGGTGACCATGATTGCGAGAATTGGAAAACGGAGAATGGCCCACGGCTTGCTGCAAAAGCGATGTTCGGCTTGATGTCGGCCGAGTCGATCTCAGCCAACGCAGAGCTGAGCTCGTCCACGGTGAGAGATGAATGCCCAGGGTCTTGCCTTGGTATAAGCGTTCGTCGTTGAACACGGTGACCGCTATTCTGCTCGTCTTCCCAAACCAGCCTCACACTGTATCCTTCACAGTGGATCTCGGCGTCTAGGCATTTACGGCACTCGGGTCGCTGCTCATCGCATTTCATGCCACGATCGCGACATGTCCAACAGCCCGTGTATGTTTTCGTCCGTCTGACAGGAGCCCTAGCTTTGTAGGGTGGAGGGTGCGACATAGTGAATGTACGGCTCTTGCGAGACCGGGACATGTTGGGCAGTCGCAAAAGATGCGGTCGGTTGCTGGTGGCGAAGCAGATTGAAATCGGCCTGGTAAGATGAGGAAGGTAAGGGCGGGGGAAGTAGGTGGCTTTTCAGGGATAGGTGGGGTGGCAGTTCTGGCCCATTGGCACACGAGCTAGCTGTAACAGATCGGGTGCCCTGTTCTTTGGTCAGACTTCACACTCTGTGCCAATAGCGGCCCCGCGGCGGGTGGACACCAAGGCATTCAATTGCACCACTGAAGCCCCTACCGTGTAGAACGCCTCGGCTGGCCACATGGCCTTGACACGGTACTTACGTCCTCGTCTTCAACATCTACTCAACGTCACTGCTGATAGAACAATACGACGGTCACTGTCGACGACAATGCTTGCAAATGTAAGATGTCCATTGGCGATTGATGACACGATCTTTCCGGGGATATCATCGTTCCTTCAAACCCGTGGTAATATACATTTACGTACTCAGCAATCATAAGCAACATCACAATCATTGCCGGATTGCTTGAGACCATTCTTGGTTGATCAAACGCAGCATAGTCCTCCATTCGCATTCACCGTGCTGCCCGTCGACCACCTGCTTCCTTCCTCGGACAAGAATCCCACGATCTGAGCAATGTCATCCACCGTTCCAATTCTGGCCGCGGCGGGTGTCTCCTTCATCTTGACATCCCACTCAGCCAGGACATCGGCACCGGTGTCTCGAAGCCACATGTCTGTGCCCACGGGGCCGGGATTCACACAGTTGACAGTCGCGTTGTAATCCTGCCCGAGTTCCACCGCCCACACCTTGGTTACTCCTTCCAATGCGGCCTTGGATGCTGTGTACGCGGTTCCGTACGCGCTGCCCATACGAGCCATGATGCTCGATATGTTGACAATGCGGGGTGCCGGGCCGAAATGAGGTATACACTCTTTCACCAAGAATGTCGCGAATCGAACGTTGCAGTTGAGGAGTTTGTCCCACAAGTCATATGTCATGTCCTTCAGCAAGCAGTCATCACCTGCTCCGGCGTTATTGATCACAATGTCGATTTTCGTCCACTTCTGCACGGCCGCATCGACGATGCGTGCCGGCCCAGTCTTGTCACTGCCTCCAGCTTGAACGATCAGTGCTTCGCTGCCGTGGCTGCGAACCTTTGCTGCCACTTCTTCGGCTTGTGTCCGGGCGCTCTGGTACGTGATGAGCACGTTGGCACCTCTGCTAGCAAGCTCGACGGCGATGCCCGCGCCAATGCCCCGAGACCCGCCTGTGACGATGGCCGTTTTCCCTTGGAGTGATTTGGACATTCTGTTGATGTGATGTCACGTGTCGGTAAGAAAAGTGGTTGGTAGAAGACGATGGACGGTTCTGGCCAAACAATGAGTGGTATTATAGATTGATTGTGCGAAAAAATCTCATGCTGCGATGGATCCTTCCAGCTCCCGACCACGCCCGGAACCTTAGCCGAAAGACTAGTCTTGACTTGATGGTAGTTTTGAAGATCTGCCCTCGTACGTTTGCCTCTATCAAAAGCTATTCATAGTTAATTTGCTGTCTAGCTTCCCAAAACAGCGACCAGTCTTCGCACTTTATCACGTCTGGTACGTTGTTGGCTCGAGACCCGGTCGTCGAATAAGGCTAAGCTTATCCAGCGTTAAGCGTATTCGCTGTCACCTGCCCCGTCCTCATGGAGCCTCTTTCGACGGGCTTGCAGGGGTGGCGTGGGGTTGGGCATTGTTCCTCATTTGGAGACCTTATTTCAGGGATATCCGCTATTTAGATGGGAGAAATGCCCATCGAGAGTGAACTTGTGCCACCACGGAATCTCATTGCACATATTTTGTCCCACGCGCTTCCGCCGCCACCATGTCAAGTTTGACGACGGCTTCAAAGATGGGAGAGGTTCTCCAGCTGGAAACTGAAATCAACGTCAGCACAGGACATGTCTCGCCCAGAACGAAGCCGTTCAAGCTTTGGAGCACGCTGGGAATCGCGTACTCGATAACTTCAACACCATTAGCCATCGGCACATACCTTGCCGTTTCGATCGGGGTCGGTGGGAGCCCCGTGAGCATTTTTGGCTATACCATGGTTGTCATCCTAGACATGTGTGTCTGTGTCTCGCTGGCCGAGATGGCTTCTATTATGCCTCACTCTGCGGGTAAGCCTTTGCCTTTGCCATGGATAAAAGATGGCCATTAACCAACGTTGCGGTCTAGGTCAAATTTTCTGGACTGCTATTTTGGCACCCAAACCTCGAGCACGACCATTGAGCTACATTGTGGGATGGTTCACCAGCGCAGGCTACTTTTGCTGGACAGCGGCGTGCTTTCTGATCACGTCGCAGCTCATTTTTGCGTTGGTCGAGATATGCCGGACCACTTTCATTGTTCAGCCCTGGCACTACTACCTGGGCTACGTTGGCACAGGGCTGTTCGCCGTTGTGATCAACATTCCTTTGTTCAAGTGGTATCCATACATCCTCAACGGTCTTGTCGTTTACATCAATGTCGGCTCGCTATTCGTTATGATTGCGCTCCTGGTCCGCGCACATCCCAAGCAAAGCGCCGACTTTGTCTTCGTCGATTTCGTCAACAATACCGGCTGGAATTCGAAAGGGGTTGTTTTCTTCCTCGGGTTACTCCCCGGCCTCACGGCAGTCAATGGCTTTGACTGCGCGGCTCACATGGCTGAGGAAATGCCCCATCCTCACCGTCAAGTTCCGCAAGTTATGGTGCTGAGTGCACTGCTCAGCGCGATCAGCGGCCTAGTCATGCTTCTCGTTTATATGTTTTGCATCACCGACCCCGCCAACCTCCTCGCCCCTGTTGGCGGCCAGCCTATCGCTCAACTCATGGTCGACTCCTTCAACAATCTACCCATGACTATAGTCGGGGTACTTGTTTTCATAATCTGCTTCCTCTTCGCCTCTTCCACCTTACTGACCACCTTCTCACGCGTGCTTTGGTCCTTCTCACGCGAAGGCGGCATGCCTTTCTCCGATACCATGGCCAGGATGAACGCTGGATCCTCGATTCCGGTCAATGCAGTTCTCCTTGGGTTCTTGGTCTGCGTACTTATCGGCCTTCTCGAATTGGGCTCCTCAACCGCCCTGAACGCCATTCTCGGTGCCGGCATCCTCTTCATATTCGCATCTTACGCCATCCCGATTACCTGTGCATTGCTGCAATACCGGAGAGCATTGGCTGCGACACATTACTTTGACCTCGGCAAGATTTTTGGGCCTGCTCTAAATGTGATAAGTGTGGTCTGGATCTGTTTCATCTTTATCTGGCTTTGCTTTCCACTTTATGTTCCGGTCACGGGCGTCACAATGAATTTTGCCATTGTTGTCTTCGCCGTAGTCGCAGTGTTGAGCACCATTAATTGGTTTGCGTGGTCCAATAAGCGTTTCAGATGTCCAGAGGCAACGATGCAGACTTCGAACAGAGAAGTTTCGGCCTGATGACGGGTAGCGAAACTGGACTCTGGTTGGACAGTGAATATGCAAGCTGCGTCTCCGGGTTTTCTCTTTCGCAGCCCTTGGATTGTTGGAACAGCACACATTGCCCGAGATGTCAGTATGAATCGTAGCGTCGTCGCGTACGGAGGCGTGCACCTTGTGGTGTTTCAGACGCTAGTAATTATTGTGCTTTGCAAAATTCCGTAAAAACCTTATTTTTTTGCAATATGCAAAACATTCAACAATCATAAAAGCGGTGAGAACACAACGCTATATTTCTCAGCAACAACCACATAACTTGTTGAAGATTCGGTCCAGATACCTTCCGATGTGGGAGATGACAAGGAGAGGGATTAGTCATTTCTTGGTCATCATTGTTAATACATATCCAACCTGCGGAATCTCCCTCTGAGGGGTGTATATATAAATGCAGGATGGGAGCCATGTTTGTGATGAAGGAAATAATGAAGTAATGAGGAAACATTCCGAGTCCGAGCATAATCTCATATCCTTAACAGGACCTTTGAGCCTGAACTGGCTTCTGCAAACAGGCGTCGGTCGCGCAGATAAGCTTGTGGGCCAAACCCTTCAAGCTGGCCCAATGAATCAAATCAAGCGAACCCAATAAATCCGCTGGCTCCGGGCTCGATGCGCACGCAACTTTCCTCTTCCAGATTTACTTCTGTTTCGACCAAATCCCTTTCAACAAGGTATATGTTACTCAATCACTTGTATACCGAAGTACCTCTTCCGCCTTTATGCCCCTTACACTGCAGCAACGACCAGCATCTCCTGCGGGGCCCCTCCGGCGTGGGGCGGTGGCATGGCTGAGAGAAAGAGAGATCTTTTCCGAATGAAACCGACTGAAGCGGCGGATTTGCTCAATAAGCCACAGCCCCGAGGTGGTCATGACCGGGTCGCAGGCCAATAGTGTGTAGGGCCTTTTCCCTTCAAAGAATGAGACACTTGATTGAGTGCGGGTCACCCACATAGTGTAAGCGGGTAGCCCATCTCATAATAGAGACAGCTTGAAGTAGAGCAATTCCGCAGTCTTTTAACAAGGTAAGTACCTTAATTCACAGGGTACCATTAAAGTACCCCTCTTGCCTATCAACATCATTTGGGTATGCTTAGATATAATCTGCCCTCGAATGGCGCTAATTTGTCTGCACAGCTTTCCCCACCATATGTTGTCATGATAGGAACGAATCCTCCAACACCGCCCCCGCATTCCCAGTCCCTAACATTCGGAGCCATCCAAGGCTTTTCCTGGGTAGTAAAATTCAAGACAATGAGTGCCTGACTGCTTTTGTCCTGCGTCTCTTTTACAAAGGTATAGATGTCCGGATCATCTACATCAAGACATTGATAGTCTCCATATACCAAGAGGTCCTTGTGTTGTTTGCGCAGTTGCAGCATTTGGCGCCAGAAGCTCAGAACGCTGTCTGAATCTTCCAGCTGTATCGCCACATTTATGTCACTCGCCAGCGGATGGGGCTTCATCCAGGGTTCTCTAATGTCGAAGCCAGCTTTTTCGGCCTCCTCAGAGAACCCCCCGTAGCGAGCGTGGCCGTTCCACGCCATGGGGATTCGCGCGTGGTCTCGGGCCAAATGCTGGAGCGCTGTGAAGGCTTTGTCAATTTCTTCCTTGTTGTTGGGCCCGTAGCGATCTTGAATCATTTTCATGAAGAGCCGGCTGGATATGTCTTCGTAATTTTCAAACGGGTATGTATGCTTTGGTGCGTTGATGGCCCCGATTTCCTGCCCTTGATAGATGTACTGTGTACCGCTCAGGCAGGACTGCAGCAATGCCAACATCTTGGATCCGTAGACACGGTATTCTGGCTCGTCATTGGTAAGCCACGATACCGAACGGGCCAGATCATGGTTCTCCAAAAAGACCGTGGTCCAAGCATCAGTTCCGTGCAACAGCTGTTGGGCGCGACCAATGGCCTCTTTGAACTTTGGAAGTGTGTAGTTTTTGACGGTTGTTTCAAACTTATGAGTCGTTCCCCAACCAACTTCGACGGCGTCAAGATGGAAGACCGCATCAACTTGCTTAGCCCGTGCGCTGACATATGATAACACACTCGATTCGTCAGGTGCGTCTATGAGTTCACCCACCGTGATGGCTCCGTACCGATGCCATCGCCATTCGCATCACAGAAAGATGCCGGGTAAATCTGGTAAACAATAGCGTGCTTCCACCATTTCTCGACCCGCTGCAGGATGGCCATGTTGAACGAAAAGCGGCGATATCTAGATCTTGCAATAAGGCTGCGTTCTGGCTTATATTGGACATGAATCACATCTCGGTAATCTCTAGAAAGCCTCCTTCGGTCCAGGCAGAGCCGCGATCCTTCAAAAGACGTCGTCATCCCCCCTAATAGTTGTTCATGATTGGACAGTCGTCGGACCGGGAACATTGTAACTCAGAGTCCCAATCGGGTGACCTTTTATGACCCAGAAACCGCTGGGGAAAGCTCTTTCGCTCGTTCATTGGCTGATCCCCGGCCCGAGACGTTCTCGTTGCGCGGGATGGTATGCCGTAACTACACTAGGCTAACTATCTCCAGGCATCGAATCTCGTTATCCCTACCCCCAGCTCATATGGATGTGTCTTCGAGAAAGTCTCGACTCCCTGACACCCGTGTCATTGTCCTTCAGTAACGCGGCACGCGGTACAGTTCATGTATCCCCCGCTTCAAAATCCCTTCGTTCTATTCCACACGATAGCTAGTATCGGCTTGATAAGGGCGCGCCTATTATGAGAAAATGTTGTACCGGGAGTCTCATGCTCTCGGACGACTACAGCAGCCCAAAGCTATAAAGACGGGTGCACCCTTCTCCATTTCGACAGCACTTCATCCAGTCTATTGTCTTCTCCCTGGAGTAATAAACAGACCGAACGCAAACAAAGCATCGAACCACCATCATCCTCTCCTTGCTTATGTCTTCACCAGGAACTCAAGCACTAGCCGAGATGCCTCACTCCGAGGACAGCCTTACCAACAGAGCGGCCATTGCCCAGGAAGCGGCGGCAGCCGTGGACAACGAGCATCATATGGGCTTTTTCAAATCCCTCAAGCTCTACAAGAAGGCATGCTTCTGGTCCATCTTCTTGTCCACTTGTGTCATCATGGAAGGCTTCGACATGGTTATGCTGAACAACCTCTATGCCTACACACCTTTTGCACGCAAGTTTGGCAGTCTTCAGGCTGATGGCACCTATGGCCTGAGCGCCCAATGGCAGTCGGGCTTGTCTGGAGGAAGCCAAGCTGGCCAGATCTTAAGGCTCTTCCTGACTGGCATTGTCGCTGATCGATACGGGTACCGCAAGTCCCTGATCGGTGCCTTGGTCGCATGCATCTGCTTCATATTCATCATCTTCTTCTCGGAGATCCTCGTCCAGCTCCTCGTAGGAGAGATCTTGATCGGCATCCCATGGGGTCTGTTCCAGACCACCACCACCACCTACGCTGCCGAAGTTTGCCCTGTTCATCTCCGTGCCTATCTCACAACCTACATCAATGCCTGCTGGGTTTTTGGCCAGTTGTTCGCCTCAGGCATTATGCGAGCTATGCTTTCTCACAACGATGAATGGGGCTACAGGATACCATTCGCATTGCAGTGGATCTGGCCCGTCCCACTGATAATCGGCATCTCTCTCGCGCCTGAGTCTCCCTGGTGGCTCGTGCGCGGCAACCGTATTCAGCAGGCCCGGAAGTCGCTTGAGCGCCTGACAACGCCTAGCAGAGAGGTTGCCTTCGATGCGGATGAGAGTATCTCAATGATGATCCATACCAACGAGATGGAGAAAAGGATCGAGGCCGGAGTCTCCTTTCTAGATCTGTTCAAAAAGGCAAACCTTCGCCGCACGGAGATTGTCTGCGTGACGATGATGATACAGGGTGGTACGGGTTCGACCCTCCAGAGTTACTCAACCTACTTCTACGAACAGGCCGGTATGGCTACGGACAACGCATTCGATATGACAATTGGGCAGTATGGCATGGGTCTTCTTGGAACACTTGTTGCCTGGTCCCTGATAAGCCGTTACGGCCGTCGAACACTCTATCTTTCCGGCCTGCTCACCAATGGCATGGTTCTCTTTGCCATTGGAGGAACCGCTTTGGCCGGCCGCGACAACACCTCGGCCTCATGGGCGATCGGCAGCCTACTTTTGATCTCTACCTTTGTGTATGATTGCATTGTCGGTCCTGTCTGTTACTCACTTGTGTCCGAGTTGTCGTCTACTCGTCTGCGAACCAAAACCATCGCGTTTGCCCGTAACATGTACAACTGCGTTTGTCTCATCACCAGCGTTCTCACCCCGAAGATGCTAAACCCTACGGCCTGGAACTGGGGCGCGAAAACAGCCTTCCTCTGGGCAGGCTCGTGCTTCATCTGCGCTATCTGGACGTACTTCCGCCTGCCCGAGCCCAAAGGTCGCACCTTTGCCGAGTTGGACATTCTCTTTGAGGAAGGTGTCAAAGCGCGCGACTTTTCAAAAACTGCCGTGAATCACATAGATACACATGTCTCCGAGACTTCTGTTGTTGGGGGTGAGACAGTACGGCATGAGAAAAAGTCGAGTGAGTGACCGAGCTGCTCACTAGGACATCACGCAATGGCGGGAATGGAGGATGCATATTACGTCGTGCCCGAGGAAAGGCGCCCCAAGTGTTCGTTGTTCAATCGATCTGTTTGTGTACCACGCAAATCGCCTTTTCGATCATGTAGAGTGATCCGTGTGCCATGTTATTCAGAAAGCCATACTCGCGAGAAGACTGATACTTCAAAGACAGTAGCAGGATTGCAACATAATATAGCACCATTGACTACATGCCTTTAGCGCAGTTGAACCCCGTACATTCCATTGCACTAATCACTAATAAGCTGTAGAGCTTGTTACTGGGGTACTGAATGACAAGGTGACTAACTCCGTGCTCGTGTACATGGTCTGTACAGACTCGAGCTTCTCACGAAGGTAATGTCGCTGCTCCTTTGGAGTTCCCTCAAATGCGAATAGGAATCTGACGATGAACAAGAGGTCTTCCACGCGTGAGAGATCTTCAATCTGGTCATCGTCGGGTCTGTGAGGCAGAGCTAAGACATCGGCGATGGTACTCGTAATCTCGAACAGCTTCTGGAGCATACCTATCCCGTGAAAGCCCACACTTGTCACGCTTTCCAAGCGCGCGAACAAGGATCGCAATTCTTGGAAAAGTCGGTTAACCGGAAAATGTAGAGAGAGACTTTCGTGGAGATTCTGAAGGGGGAAGGAGCGGAGAAGGCGACGAGAGAGAGCGAGTTGCCAGATCAATGTTCGAAGCCACAGCCTCGTGATAGATAGATCAATGCGTTGAAGCTCCGTCAGACCGTCAGCTCCAGTCGCCTTCAGTGTTTGCTCTTCGAGGCCCGTCTCGGAAGCATCTTCGTCCAGCTCCGTCTGCTTCTGGGCAACCCAGTCAGCCGTCAGCTCTGGTGCGGGATACTCCGGGCTCTCTTGTATTCGCCAATATGCTAAAAATTTATCGTCAAGGACCAAGAAAAGATTGATCAGTCGGCGAAAACCAAGGTCGATATGTGCCGGAATAGTCTCATCAGCCACAGGGAGACCGCATCGAAGAGTAGGGAGAATGCCGCAGAATGGAGGGAACATTGCCAAGTGTCTTTCGTATGTAAACTTCCCAGTAAAGCCTCTGCCATTTCGCAACTTCACTTGGATCGTGCGATATATGGCGCTGAAAATCCACTGTTTGTAACATTGTGATGCCTTCGCGAAGGATGGCAAAACTGCGGTCTAACTGTCCGAGGGTGGCCAGGCAGACACTCAAAAATATACATGTCAGAATGCGCTTGATGGTGACAGCTAGTGGACCCAATGTATCCGTTTGGAGGTTGGCTGCTTCGAAATCCACTGCTCGATATGCTCTCATGCTGCAACGGATCAGATCTGTGATCAGTATCGCAACTTCCCCGTGCAGCGTCCAAGAAGATCGTGTACGATTGATAGTCATGGCAGCGAAAGCGTACACGAGTGCTTCATCTTCCTTATCGCTGTCCATTGTCTGGATAGCCTGCCGCATCTCTTGTGGCGAGATTATGGGATTCAAGGGGTAGACAAACTCCGAAAATTGCGGAAGTAAGTTGAAAAAGAAGGCCACTGTACGGGTCGCTGGTTGCGTTAGAGGCGTCTTGACTGCAATGTCTTTGCTTCTGTTGCTCCGCAGTTGGGCTATGAGTGTACCGCGTATGGTAGGTGTCCGTCTTGCCACCGAGTTCGTAAAAGTGCATCGAAGGTTAAGATGAGTACACTGAGTGCATGTCGGAATTCCATGGCATTTAACCTTGCGCAATCGGCAACCATCGCAAGCTCGACTTTTGCCGCTGTTGTTATCCGTCGGCTTCATGGTATGCTAGTACTGTAAAAGACCGCTCTGCCATCTCAACTCATGGTGGCTTCCCTACATCGCACCGTGGTAGGTGCTATCGAGGCTGATATCAGGAAATGTGCTGTGCCGTGCTTGGAGACTGGATCGGGACAGGAAAGAATATTGGTATCACGTGAACAGGAGTTGTCCCTGTGATTATTTTTCGAGGACTGGAGGGTCTCGGGGGGGGGGTCAGACTATATAGTTTTGAAGAGGGGTGCCGGCCAATGCTATTGCGGCTCGAGTTAAGATAATCACGTGACTGGCGCAAAAACGTTACATCCCAACAGCCTGACCAGTAATGATTGCTTCCTTGTGCCCTGCTCTTATCCGATCATTCTTGATTTTCGTCGTGGTGTTTGTCGAAGATTGAGCCGCGTCTTGACCGCTGTGACATCTTCATCGAGGTTACAGTATATGTTCGAATTTGGGGCATTGCAACTCCATAAGTTACAGTAGACCGAACGAGAGAACAAACACCAAGAAGCCGGCGGACGACGAGCTCCCACCTCCACGTGGTGTCCGCTGGGAACTCTCAGAGAAACAGTCTGGCTGTCTCTGAGTGCCAGGAGGAGCTCAACAACGCGGTGATCCTCTCATGAACGACGCGTCAAAGTCCCGAAAATCACCCTCTGCACCTCACGAAACACCCAACATACAGTACCAGTACACGGGAAGGGAATGGCCTCCTTTTCATGTACACCCACGATGGAAAACGGACTTGAGTCCCCCGTTTTCTTGCCCAACCGCAGTTTACGGTGTCAGAGCGTGAAGAAACGCGACGAAGAGGCGGAATCAATAAGAGGCATACAATCAACACGACATCACTGCGATCACGCACACCACAGACCATATCTTCAGACACATCCATCTTCTCCATCTCCATCAACGACGCGTCGACACGTCGAAAATCACCTTCCGAGCCTCCCGAAACACCCAACATACAGTACCAGTACGCGGGAAGAGAGTGTTGCCTCTTTCATGTACGCCCCTGAATGGAAGATGGACTTCGGCATTCCATCTTCCTGCCCGACTATGGTTTACGGTATCGAAGAGTGAAGAGTATACGGCGAAGAGGCGGAGTTGACGGGGAAGAGATGGTCCACCACACGGAGAACACACTTCAGGAAGTCACCATATCGAATTATGCTATCACTACCAACACCACTCATAGCTCAGAAAATACCTTTCAGACGCATCACACACTGCCACTTACTCAGCTCGCCGACATCGTGGCACACCATCCACGCGAAGGACGCCGTGGGGAAGCGTCCGGCTGCCGATGATGTCTCGATGGTCGAGAGCGAGCATTGACCCGAGAAGCATCAACGGGCAAGCCTCGCACACTACACACACTTCCCATACAGTACATCTGCACTTCATGCAGCGCACTCCCAACCAGTGGCTATCGCACTGGGGCCGGCCAGGCGCTTGGCAGGGCCCCCAGCGACAGTAATCCAGCCAAGCAGAACCCGGATTGGACGAATGCCGCGGATTAAGTCCCGTCGGTCGCGTCCACGGTACAACTATACACCGGCGCAGACGAGTGTTTATTGATAAACAGAAACACAGGAGGGCCGGGAACAGTTGGATCCTAGGTCACGTGATGCTCCCTGCAGGCAGCATCACAACTAGTGGCAACTGCCTAGTAGGCAGTTGCTGCACTATGGCATAAGTAACTTCCGTACCCTCATAGGTAGTTCCAAATACTATCACACTTGTTCTCACTTCAGGGTTTCTACTGGAACGGTCCGACACGTACATAGATACAGAACAGATATTATGATTGTTAGTAGGGGTATCCTACTCGTAGTCGAACGCTGCGTAGCTGCCACTTAATCGGCTGCTGGGACAGTCTATGATGTAATCAATCAATCAATCAATCAACACCAAAAAGCCACCAGGACACAGAGTTCAGCATGTCAGTAAGTACTGTAAACCATGTTACAAACAACGGCAGAAACAATTAGGGAATCTGTGTCAGGGCCAGGATCCTTCTCCGGGAGAGAGGCTGCTGTTAATCCGGTATACTCTGCTTGATTCAGTTTGTGTGGCATGGTGCCCTGGCTGAGCGACTGCATCGAGGATTCTCTGCCCATGTACACGCAAGGTGCAAGAAACGCTGCCGCCGGTCGCCGTTGTCCATACAGCAGCAAGATATTATGTCCCAGATAGGTTAATGACATGCACTTTTCGTTGCCGCATTCACACAACCTCTTGATTGGGAACATGATGGTTCTTGGGTACTTTCGCTAGGCATGATGCGTCAATTTCTGAATCCATATATTAGTGTACCACGTCGCTTTGCCTCAGTTGCATCCTGGGTTCCATCATCTGACGGCTTCGTGGTGTCTGCTCCTAGCCGCTCGTGCACATCATTCGACTCGAACGGTTCTTGAACAGCCAATCCACCGACCACAACCAACACCTCCGACCAGGATCCATATCGGAACCCCGAGAACGACATCAACAGCACCATCAGCACCATCAGAACTCTCCTCACCACAGCTACAACAACCATCAATACGGCCTTCCATCAAGATTGGGAATTCGCCTGGAATCATGCCAAACACGGTGGTATCCTGCACGACTTGGGCAGGAAACCAGACAAGAAAACCCTGCAGTTACACCGAAAACTGCCCCGACCCATCAGCTCCATCATTACCCAGATGGGGACCGGCAAAATCGGATTAAACGCCAATCTCCATGGTATCGACAAGGAAGCACAAAGTGACAATATAGGGCTGTAAACGAGCGGCTTAAGACTAGGATAGGTTCTCAACTTGTAAAGATAGGTATCGGCGGAGTACGCCGCGGAGTGCTATGTCTCTCCATTCAACAAGAGGTTGTCGCTGAAGTGCAAAATGTCGCTACGGACCACAGCACCTCGACAGTCAGAATAACTTATAAGATTGGATGGGCGCACCGTATCAACAAGCTTTTGCAGACTGTGAGAAGGTGTGAGTTTATTGTTCTATAGGTATGCAGTCTGCGCCCTGTGTGCTCGTAAAGGACCTTAGCACATCAATGGGAGTGTTATCGACTTTGAACTTTCGGTCATAACAACTACTGTAAGCTTTATCCACGTGATAATCTCTCTGCCTTTTGCACGCCTTACTGTAAAGATCGCGCTTGACAGCGCTGAAATGAATGTTTATACTGTATACGCGGTGACGGTGGCTACAGACTTATTTATTTACAGAGCTCTCTATCTCAATCTTAGTTTAGCTTAGCGGCACTCTCGTTAAGTTAGGGTATAGTCTCGCGATTGACGTTAATTCTTTGCGAGTTCTTCTTAATTAAGTGCGCGATAAACTGATATAAATCTTTCTCTGAGACTAAATTCATTAACTAACTCTTAGTCTAATTTATATCTTCACATTCTTTTTGGTCGAACGAAGTGATATCAATCAGAAATTTACTCGATATTTATTGAATTAAGGCCGCCTTTTGAAACTCGATGAGTAGGGAGAGCTTAGGCTCACGAAGGATTTATTCAGAACATTTCACTATGCGTTGTATTCTCATATATCTGGGGCACAGATGAAGATGAGATGTGTCATGAGTAGACAGAACAGAGAACAGACGACATCTCAAAACTCCACGCCAAGCGTACTTGCCAAGCACGTAACGCCAAGAGAACTCAGGGGAGCCGCACAATTATCGCAGGCTTCCCGCACAAGGAACTTCCCTTTCTTATGCTTTGAGTTCTGTAACTAGAGCACCTAGATAGGAAGACCTATTTTTATTGTGTTATTACTCTGCCTATTCCACAGGCCGTTCCTAACAGGAACCCGCAATTTTCATTTATGCATAATATGAGGCCGCTTCGTCCGTGAGATATAAGATGATGGTTCACTTAGTGTCGAACCTACATGAGCACAAAGTATTTAGAGCTACGAAACTTTACGTAGAATATCCCATTCCTAATGATAGGTGAGACAGCTGTTGATGTTGATGCATGAAGGGAAGGGGCGGAGAGAACCTCGGGGAGAGATTGTCCACTAACCTAGCCGGACGTGAGTAATTTAGCCGGTAAGCGTGAGAATGAAGGCCAGGATAAGCCTCTGTAATGTATTCGTAGATAATTGTATAATTTGTTCGTGTCGGTTACTGATGCTCTCGGTCTAGAAGTTGTACGGTGCAGGCATAGTCGTTTGAACGAAAGGCTCTGAACGCTAAAGTCTTCGTCGTGAGAACTATTATTAGCGTCGGGCCCTGTGGCCCACAGGTAGAAGATTTAGCCAAATCGATCTGCGTGGATTTATTTTCCCACCGATGGTAGGGAGTTGGTCCAAGCTTCAGGTTCGGGCCGCCGGTATCGACGAAATGATATGGTAATGTATGGCGAGCAGTCTCTCAACCAATCGACTACTATGACCTGGAAAGAGGACTTCCTAGTCCTCAAGTCTCACCGGGACTTCAAATGTAATCGATAGGCCCAATCATCTGATCAAAGGCCTTTCGGAGATGCGGAAGACGTTAACCGCGGTGATAAATTCGCTGTTTGACGTAAATAGCCTCGGATTCGATAAGTCTTGCTTCGCTTCAGGTCGTCACCAAGAAATAACGAAGAGTTCTAATTCGCTTCAAGGGTTAGCGGGCTTTAGCGTTCCTCGCGCACTAGAATGAGGTATAGGTGGGCTATCATAGCAACTCTAATTCTGCAACTAACCGGCCTTCCTGGTTGTTATCGCTTGGGTCGATGTTAGGCTTGAGCGCAGGTAGTCCCCACGCTACTTTGAAGCAAGATGGTGGTTGAAGAAAAGGGGAGGCGACGTAGCCAGCTGCACCGTAATGCACTTTATGGTTGCTTAAGGAGGAGTGGCGGGTGTTGCGTGGTAACCACCATGAAGGAGTAGGTAGGGTAGATTATAGTAAAGTCAATTGAAAAGTCTCTCGATTGCTCGAGTGTGCGCAACGATTCGAAAAGTCTAACTCAGCAGGTCCAGGATCCAGGGAACAAAAATAGCGCAGTGCCCGGCGGTCTCAAAGACTGTGTATGCAATGTGGTCATAGTCGAATGTTGAGGGCAAGAGTGTGTAGACTTGCCCAAGCCGTTGATTGGTGTTAGCATCTACAAGGCTCCACAAAGCTTCTGGCGGTCAGCGTTTTGCGAAGGACTCTTCCATGAATATGATGTTCAGTGTATGCAAGTGCACACCCTTTCATTTGGACCCTGGTGCCTTCGATGCAGGCTTGAGCAAGGTTAGATGTGTGGTTGTGTCCAAAGAGACCGAACGAAGAGGTAACTTCCAAATGGATAATATTGCACCTCGAGTCCGTTGTGAGGGCTGGCTGCCCTGCTTGTCTACCTAAGAGCAAGGCACATCAGAGCAATGACAAGAAGACTCGTTCAAAATATGGATTCGATTGCCATACTTTATTCGTGCCGACCACCCTTCTTGCCAAAGCAATCAAACCACGAGGGGAAGCTGTCAAAATTTGACGAAATCAAAACCAATGCAATGCATGTCAGCGACTCGAAATCTAGTGACCCCCTTCATCAAGACGACTCGGCCACTATATTTGAGGAGGATCTACAGTTGGAAGACGAATGTGAATCGATCGCACATGATACAGGAGATTATCGCATACAAAAGATTGTTGAGTCCTCACCGACAGGATGGCAGGTTCTGAGGTCATCTGATGGCGTAGTATATATCGCCTTTGAGAATATGGAAGACCTCGACTCTCATCTACGGGGTCTGGAATTGCGGAACAGCCTTGATATTAACCACGACGGCTTCGAAGTAGGCTTTGTCCTGGCTGTTTTAAGACATTCGCCTTCTTCATTGAATTTGACAAGCATGGAAAAGGAGCTTCTCGAGGGCTTCATTTGGAGAACAGTTGAGGAGGTGCTCCAGGTGGGCTCGACAGACTTTCGTGGCGGCAGCCTGCAACGCAAGCGACAAGTTACGGGCTTAGAGCTTCTTCGTCGCTCCGCCTGTTCGCAGGACTCTTTGATGTGGTATTTCCCACCAGCCCCGAGGTTTCCTCTCCCTGGAAAATTGTCAAAAGTCTGGCCAATAGGTGAAAATTGGTTGACGTCATTTCAAGACTTAGAAGGCCAGGATCTAATCACTTGTACTGTGGACTTTGAGATCGGGCACGTCAACGCGTCAGGAATCTTGTTCAAACATCCTGGTCGTATAGATGTGGGGATATTATGTGGTGTCTGAAGGACATAGTATTCATAGAGTTAATGCATTATTCCAGGTCGACACGCTGAACTGCCGCCAGAACTACTTCAATCTCATGAAAGTAAATACCTGAGCTTCCTGTGAATTCTTGGATATATAGCCTCGGAGAAAATTGACATAGTGATGTCGCGGCCATGAAAGGTCACCGAGAATAACTTTTTTATCCTGGCCATAGAACAGGCTTATCTTGTCTGGATGGAGCGTTCGCGACAACTCCTTAAGTTGTTTCTCATAAAGCTCGCATGTCAAGTCCGCTGTCGGGGCTAGTCCAACGAGGTCGAATGGATCAAATTTGATGGCATCCATCCACAAGCCATCCTCCGCCAATTGTACCAAGTTGTTATTCTCTTCCATATTAAAGTGTACGAACGATCGTCCTTAAGAGTCTAAGCAGCTCGATGCTGTTGACGTCGGGTGCTGTGTTGTGACTGTGAGTGTCACACAGACAGGAGGACAAGAGTGGGAGGAGCGTTGACAGGTCTTTTAAGACATCGGAGAGGAGGGGTAATCGAGTTCAGTGGGATGGCTAGATGCGAAATTGGAATCGCAGCGGAAGTCATTTTATAATCAAACCTTTGCGCACGACTAAATGCATATCAGTAGTAACGGTACTGAATCTTGACTAGTGACTAATCAGTCCTAAAGTCAGAAGATCACCCAACTTACCCCAAGTTCTTGATCGAAATCTCCACGACCTTTGATTCACGCGTCGAGAGGTCGTAGCTCTGACGTTGTTTGTCAAAGGAGTGACTTGAATTTCAAGGATTTCTTTCGCTGTCGCAAGAGTGCCAAGCGTGCTCCCGCTTAACTCTTTGGGGCTTAGCCCCGAGGGTTGAGACGTTGCGCAACACATCGCATTTATTTCTTCGAGATTACGGTTAGGGACCACTACAAGAGGAATCATACAAATTACGATCCATGGCGATGTTTTTTACGGGTGAAAACGCATGACCATTCGCAGGGTCTGGTGAACGTACATACTCTTCCGTGAAGAATCTCTCTACGAGTCTTGAACCTGGATCTTTAGGCGGATGTTGCTCGTGATGCTAGAACCACGAACCAACGCCATCGCACCGCAGCTTCGGACCGTTCAGGAAATTGATCAAAGATGCACGACCACGACCTGCCCAGGCGCCGCCATTCCGTTAAATTGTTATCCTCATCTAACGTCCAGTGGCCTCGCTTCGTCGGCCGGGACAGCGTTTCACTTTCGCTGGGACAGAAGTCGCTGCTCGTGTCTGGGTCGGGTGAACATCTTCCTCTCCTTCTAGCTCGGTCTCGTCTCAGATTATCCATTTTGGTAGCACGTCGCGATATCGTGGCTGTGAGGAGCCAACAACGGTCAGCCAGTGGCTTGAGAACGATATTGGCCAGCTTGTCCGGCTGGACACCACACCCAAGGGCCCAACCCGTAGATGAATGAAAGATATTCTGAAGGTCCGCCGGACTGTCGATAATGATGGTAACGAAGTCGGCGTCACCCGATGTCACAGGCTAGATACTCAAGCCTTTCAACTTATCCTGCTGGTGTTCTTGCCCGTGGTCGTTGAACGGCTCGTCGATATCTGGTGGCGATGTAGGAGTAGGACAGAGCTCGCGAAGGAGAGAAGTATGCCCAATTTGATCTTCATAGTTTATGCTCGCGCCACCGTCAAGGAGGGTCTGCCCACCGTCCGACCCGAAAGCATGGTTATTGATTCCAGTTCCGACCTTGCAGCCTGGCTCGTGAAGATGAGCACACACACTCGACAGACATTCAGGGAGTCAAGATCAGATTCACTCATATGGCGTCGTTTTCGGCCAGTGATGTGTTTAACGTGCCCGCTGAGCTGGGGAGATACTGTCCGTCGCCTGGCTCGTTCGGTCTTACCAAATCGTCTGTAGGCTGAGAATTAGAGAGATTCCGCTGCGAGGCCGGTGAGGGGAGCCGAGATGGAATCACCACCTCTATCCAGGATTTGTGACGAGAAGATGGTGGGAAGCATCGCCGCGGGGATGGTGCCACCTTCAGGTTCGGCTGAGCGCAGCCTAATTTTGTCGTAAGGTCAATCGCGTCGGAATTTGTCCGCAGGGTAGACGTCTCGAAGCGGACGAAATCATCGCTTGGTGAGAAAATGACAATAGCGCGAGTCTCAGCGACCCGTGAAGGATAGCTCTGAACATGACTAGGACCCTAGTACAAGTAGGATAGACAGTGTCCCTTCTCTCTGTACTGTACACCGGCATGCGCCTCCGTCCTCTCGAGCCATGCAGAGAGTCCTGTAGGGTTTTCCCGCCATTGGCTACCAATGCACGCTACGCCCCGCGAGTCGCGTACTGCTCGTACACGCCTCGTTTCGCGTTGCCTAGCGTGGTCTCCCACATCTAGGCCGTCCATGTCTCGCAAGAGGACAGTGAGAGAATTCTAGCCAGCAACTCTTCTCACATTGCGATCTCTTACTAGCCAAGCCTATGTCCCTCTTTCCGTTGTATTTCCTCGCGGTGGCTTGTTCCTTTCGGTAGACCATTCTCCTCCTTTCTATGCCACCGGTGGCTTGTTCTCGAAGTTTACAGGGCCGAAAGGATAGGCTCAAGGGGTCGAGGGTGAGCTTGTTCTCGGATTATAACAGGGTCCGTCGCAGGCAAAACCCCTGCGCCGTAGACGGTGACTTGTTCTCGAGGTTTAACATGGCCGTACGCGCCGCAGGAGACCACCTAAGATAGAAGACGTCAGAATTAACAGGCCCACCAGTACGTACCTTCTAGGTTCTAGGGATCCCGCCACCCTCGCACGTGCCACTGAAGACACGTCTCTCAGAGCGCTTGTGGGCTGGGGGTGTCCTGTCCCGTCAGTAGGCGATACCACATCCACGAGCTTGATGTTGTAGGACTTGTTTCGGTTCCAGGTACGAGCTGATACTGACGGGCCGGGTGGTTTCCAAATGATGTTCCCCCCTTTTTTTGTGCCTACTGGTGCTCAGCCTGATTACCACTGGTCGCAGCTGAGCGTTACTGATCTTGTTCGTCACGTGATGCCCTCTTGGCAGGACCACGGCTTGGCTGCCTCGGCTTCCCATCCCACTGAGTTCCTTGGCTGGTGTCATACTTGTATGCGGCCTGTTCGTAACAACACAATAAAAATATTCAAGAGTACTGTAACGAGTTATACCGCGTGAGTCTTTAAAGAGACTTAAAGATATTATCATTATAGTATATCTATTTATATCTCATGTAGAGAAGTTTCCGCGACTACATGCACATTGTCTCAATCAATCAAGAATGGTGTTTTGTGAAACTTGTGACCACTTTTGCTGTGACAATCGAATTTTCATAAGGGGACTCTCCAAGAGGCTGATGGGGCTGCTCTCCACCTAGCCGCCATTTGTCATTTCCAGATTGAGTGCTGGGATCTCGACACTCGTTTGTCCCTCGGTGAAATTGAAAATGAACAGACCCAGAGGTTTGCCATTGTAGTTCAGTGCATCAACACTCAGCCAGGTGATGCACGTAGGGGTTCCGGCGTCAATGGGTGCATCTTGGTCCTGAAAAACTGCTCGGAAGGCAATCTTGGTCCCTCCGGACGTGTTTCTTTCAATTAAATCCGTTGGGTAAAGTCTGATACTCAGCGCTGACGGAGAAATTCCCGCGACCTTTGCAAGTTCTTCGCGAATGTCTGTTGATCCCACCGTGAAATTGGATAGGGACAAGCCAGGCATGTCATCCGGATCTTCGATGATCAGAGATGCAATTGGTTGGGTTGACCTGTACTCTCCAGAGTACGTATGCCCTGCCTGGCTAATTGCCGCTTTCTCAAGTCCTGGTAGGAGTTCATCGGCGACAATATCGACATAGACATTGAGATCAGCTGCAGCCACTTCATCTGCTGCGAGGATGACGAAGCCGACATTATAATCGGGCACGAGCCCGAAATATGAGCTATATAGACCCACTGAGCCATAACTCGTGTAGATATCGATGACAGGATTGATGGGGCTCTGGTCCTGGGTGGATTTGTAGATAATCCAAGGGCGGCCGGCGTCATTGACTAGGTTCGATGTGTGTGCAATTGGTTTGAGCCACCTCCGTGTCACAGCAGAGGGATTCAACGTAGAATTGAGCATTGCTATTCCTGCTCTTGACATATCGGCTATTGTAGAGTACATTGATATGGATCTTAGAAATAGTAAGTCAGTGGGTGACAAACTCTGCTCCGTTTCCAGAAACTCACGGGGATTCATCGCCGAAGTCGGTATACCAGCCGCTCTCATTCCCACTTATCCCCGGAATCACAGCATTTGTGCTATTCAGTGGGCGGTGCAAGCTAGTGGATGATATGCCTATTGCATTAGCTGTTTGATTGAACATAGCATCGTACGGCTGCTTCTTGATACCCTCCAAGGCATAGGCGAGCAGTTGGAAAGCCGTATTCGACATGATAGGAGTTGTACCCGGGAGATAAACGGGATACCGTGCGCGTAGGTCTTTGAAGAAATCTGTACTCTGTCAGGGTTTATTGACGGAAACACAGTCTGTTTTAGTAGGTTACTCGCCTGTTCTCGTACAGGTTGGCTGTAAACAACCAGACCATTTCGCGCCACTCAGCGGCTTTGGAAGTGAAATATTCCGCGCGCTCAGATCGGTGATGCCATCTAAATCCGCTGTTAGACGACCCTCGGCCGATAGTTCAAACTTACAATCTCGGGGCACTCCTGAAAGGTGTCCCGCCAGATCACCAAGTGTCACGTCGTCCCAGGAGAAGTGTCCAAAAGTGGTCTGGCCATTGTCCCTTGTTAGTTCTGGTATGTATTTGGTGATCGGGTCGGGCCAATGTGCCTCTCCAGCTTCAATGAGGAACACCCAGACTGTAAAGACTTCTGTGACTGTGGCGATGCGGAAAATGCTGTCCGAATCAAGTTTCGATGTCCCAGGTGTTGTTTTGGATATGAGGGGCGCCGTGTAGTGGTACTCAAAAAAGAATGGATGTGTATGGTTCAAAGGATCATTCGAAGTAAACAGACCGATGGAGAAAGAAGTTGTGTTGGAGGTAATTGTCCCATAGGTGCTATTGGAGGTGGAAACAAGTTCGTCGAGGGTGGCAGTGACATTTTTCAGCGCAGATTGAACGATATTGTCACTTGCCAGACCGCTTGGAAGAGGAAAACGTGGACCGAGGATGGGACATGGTTGGAAAGACTGCGAGTGCGCGCTGCACAGATGGAATAGCAATAGAATGAACGAGGTTAGAAGAACCATCTTGAAATACAACTTGAAGTGACAACACACGATTGAGAAGTAGAGGTAATCCTGAAGACGGATGCCCTTTATATGAAAGGTGCACTTGGCTGCCTCGGACCAGCGATCAGAACGACTTGTATCTGTCCTTGACTAGCATTGAACATCGTCCTCAATACCAATTCCTCAGCGATGGCTATTTCGAGCATTGCGTGGTATCTACAGGAAAAACTGATCGCTGCCGCAATTTCCTCAAAAGGAAACGAGAGCGATAGCCCACTTAGATGCCGCCGTTTCGAGATGATCGAGGCTGAGTTTTTCAGGCCTCCAACAAATCCACAACTATGAAACGTCAATTCTTTCTACACGTGCCCACCTCCTTCTTCGTCGTCGCTCTCGTATCTCGATTAAGGATCACTTCTGACATTGGTTTGTCGGCTCCTCCGCCAGCAGGTTACGCGCAAGGGCTGATTGGTGGAGTGTGGACAACCCGTTATGCTCACGTCCTCCACGGAAACGCATCTACAAAGAGTCAGTGGGCGACTCGGGTCGAAGAAAACGAAGACTGGCTGCTTGACGTGTCGGTAAGTCGAAAGGAAACTAAGCCAACATCTCGCCAAGTCCCGAGAATTGCTCATAAGTGCGCAGAAAGCATCGGGTAAAGTGCGATGAGCAAAAACCAAAGTGCAAGAGGTACGACATGTCCACCAAACCGGCATGTAAGCTGATAGAATCTCTTCCAGATGCACACGGCTTAAACTTCATTGTACTGGTTATCAAGATGTGTTCAGAAGTTTTGACTTGTCGCAACAACCATCTGCAATTCGAGCTCACAAGCCCGACCGAACAGCCGCCAGCGTCGATTGCCAACTCAGCACCTTTCAAGGAAGTGACAAGGAGCGCCAACTGTTTGAATATTTCCGCACAAGAGTTGTCTTCCAGCTCAGTGGCTTCCTTGATGAAGACTTTTGGATCACGACGGTTCTGAAAGTCTCCCACTCGGTGTCATCGGTCCATCGTTTGGCGATTGCCATTGCGGCATATATTGGAGAACATGACAGACATTCCAGAACAACAATGCCTCAGCAGTCTTGGAATGCCTCTTTGAAATACTATCAAACTGCCCTTTGCAAGGCAAATCGGTATACAGAATCTGTAGACCAGGAACTTGTGGCTATACTAAGCTGCCCCCTTTTTCTGTGTATGGAGTTTCTGCAAGGGAAAAAACTACAGGCCATGTCCCTCTTCCTGCATGGCTACCTTCTCATGAGAACTTTCCAAGAGCAAAACTCCCGAAACTCTGCTATATCTAGGTGGGCAGTAGTCTACGAGAGTCTAGGTCCCGTGTACAACAGACTTATGATGATGTCAAAGCTGTTCGGCCACAGTTTCCCAACTGACTATTCCAACCTGGCATTTCTACCTGGCTCAAACCCAACACCATCATCCACTTTCAACAATCTCACTGTAGTTGCGAAGCCAAGGCAACAGTCAGGACAATGGATCGTCCGAAGAATATACGAGTTGCTCGGTCGTCTTGCCGCGTCGTGGAAGCCACGGGTGGTCTTCCAATGGATCCCAAGCGAATCCGCGACCCGCGGCAGTGAACTGGCGCATGACTTGGCTCGGAGAGCAGCACACCCAAATCGCCAGATCCCGGTAGGGACGAAGTTGAAATCGACCGCCAGAAGGAAGCCGAAAGGAACCCACGACGAACAGAGGAAGCAGTTCGAGGCGCGCCCCGGTGGCCGGTACACGAAACAGCTCGATCGTGCTCTCCCTGGCAAACACACGCGAAAGCTCTATGATAACCTCAAACGCGACGAGGCGCAAACCTTGGCTCAACTCCGAACGGGGAAGAGCAGACTCAACAGGGCCCTTTACAGGATCAAAGCGGTGGACTCGGACCAGTGTGAATGGTGCCGCCGGCCCGAGACGGTCAGACACTTTCTGACGGAGTGCACGCGTTGGACCTTGCAGCGCCAACAATATCTTCACGCAACTACGGAGCGGTGGATGGACGTGTCATTCCTTCTGGGAGGGTGGACCAATGAAAGAGTGGATGGACCGCTCAAGAAATGAAAACCGAACATGGAAGCGGTCAGAGCGACAATCCGCTTTACGAAAGCCACCGGTCGATTGAAGCTCGACCCTGAACAAAGGAGGTAACCCCGATTTGAGAATTGAACGAGCCCACACCCGACAGTTCCTGTGCCGATGAAAGAACAGCAACACTCAAGAAGAACAGACTTGAGGGCGAAGTGTGTAGCTCGTAAGGGGATCACAGCAGCCGCGAGGGTCGTATGCCGCCGAAGGACCAACAGCAGGAAGTACCATGAACCGGGACGTTCGCCTGTAGCCATGTAGAACTAGCTAGTCCCCATTGGGCTTAGCCCGCCTGGGCGTATGAAAATCAATCAATCCCATTAATAGGCAGTCCTCGAGAATACCTTAAGTGTGTTAACAGTAAGTTTGACGATAAGGTTAACACGCAGTTAGATGTCGGCAAGTACTTTAGTTATATCAAAATATCGTGGATGTCAGCATGCAAGACTATTGGCACCCCCAGAAGGTATTAAACAATATTCTGCTGGCGACAAGTGTCGAGATATAACGTCTTTAACTAGACAGTTCGATAATTTGGTAGATTAGGCTTGAACTAGGAGGCTTCGCAATGTGAAACGTGATCTGAAGAGGGGATGGCACAAAGCTAACGCGGAATATTATTCTCTGGAGGCAGATATGCAGTGCGCCAGACAGAGGTCTGTCAACTCGCTCATGTCATAGATTCACCGTGATCAATTGGATGGATGTCTCTAATCTCGGAAATGGCCTGAACTCGTCCTGCTTTACATATCGGATTTCTATCGGCCTCCTCTTCCCTGAGGTTCATAATGGTGTTCCAGTAAGCTTGATTAGGAGTCTGCGATCTTTTCCCTTCTTGATAGGAAGATCAAATCTGACAATGTTGTAAGTTGTGTCGCTGGCTAGTGGCCGTAACGTGGGCGGTTGGAAAAAGAGCGAATACAAGTCTTTCTCCGCTTCGATGGCGGCCTCGTGGAATCAGGTCCTGCATCTTGGTGGGTTTTTGGCCGTGTCTTGTAGTTGTGATATCTGCCGGACGATTTATACCACTGAAAGAGGTGGTCCTGTTACTGTATGCGAGAAACGGGTGCTTGGCATTGAAGAGCTATGGGTGCACCGGTTTCTTGGAGAATATGGGAAGGTAGGTGGTGTCGGAGATAAGCTTTCCCATGTTGTTTACGCGACGTTGCGCGACGCGTCTACCACACACCTCACACTCTCACACTCTCACACTCTCACACTCTCACACTCTCACACTCTCACACTCTCACACTCTCACACTCCTCGACACATGAGCGGACCGACATTCATGTCGCCAGTCGATAGTTCGACCGTGAGCTTAAACGATGTCGGCTCTACACAGCAGGACGATGTCTTTCTGTGCACACAATTACAGTACCTAAGCTCAAGACACGGTCGACACTTAGAAAGGACTCACAGAAATATTCGCACCGCGGTCGAGTATCTGAAAGGCAAGAGAGCAGCACGAAAGTTCGTGAAGGCATGTTGGCAGAGGGCATTGGCCATCTCCCCGCAAGCTTTCATGTTCCTGAGTGGATCATTCACCCATCACCACCTTCTGAGGAGAGGACAATACGCCTGTCAACAACTGATCGATCTCCTGAAGCGAAATCAGAGCATGATTGATCAGCACTCAGAGTTATCATCTCTCAGTGCACAGTTTCTGAATGACCTCAAACAGCTAGCTCAGGCTGACATTTCTGAAAATCCAAAATCCTCCCGCAGTTTACGTCGACCAGCACCCCGAACAGAGAAGGCCACAAGGGCTCAAGAAGAGCTGTTGGCGCCATACAAGCCACCTACACATGATGATGAGCCTGCTGTTGCACCGTGGCTGGACTACTTCCGCAAGGAGCCAGCATTTCTGATACATCTGGACCTTGCTTTCGACCACTCGAAGCTGGGACTGCTGACATCTGCCACGGAAGATCTGCGTACTTTATGGAGAACACACACAACAGGTCTACCGACGATCGTTCCGGCAGCGGCATGCTGGCGGGGAGATCCGCCGACATTTGAACAGCTCTGGGTCGAAATGTCGAAGATCAAAGTAAACGGTGTGTTATGAAGAAACCGAACCGAGTCTCGAGAATGCTAAGGGACAAGATCTTCGGGTCTACGAACAGGGTGAACAGTCAGCCAATGCCGCACTCGCGTTCTGTCAGATGGCGAGACCGAATCAAGACAATCCCATTTGCATCATCGGGATGGAGCTACCCGCGTTGGTACGATGCCGAGCGTTTGGGGGATGTGCTCAACTTCATCAGCGAGCGACGACGTACCTGGAGCAGCGCACGGTGTTCAACATGACGCCGAAATTCTCGTTCGTCGACTTGCATACAGGTATGGCTACTTGTCATCAATCGAGGGCTCGGATATTGACTAAGACAACAGACTACGGTAAAGATGGCATCTCTGCTACCCTCCACGATTGCGAAAAGGTGTGGGGGATGTATCCTCCAACGCTTCACAACCTGCAGTGGATGGCTGAACACCGGGGCCAGCAAGCCAAACTGGCACAGGGGATGGGAGTTTTGGAAGGGGGTGTAGTAGCGCACACCACTTCGGCGGAGGCGGTCTACCTGCCGGCAGGATGCTTGCATGCTGTCTTCACCCTTGTCGGTGGGTTCCTGGTCTCGATCGATTGTACCACTCAGAGGTCAGTATGGCCGTTTGCACAATACCTCCGATGCAACATGCAAGCCGAACTAGGAGCCACCGATGAGCGAAACTGCTATTTTCTCTTCCTGGATTCTCTCGACGTGGCCTTACAGAACGCTGGGGAGAGGGATGCCTTCCGTGCATGGATCGAGGTCGAAGACGTCCTCCAGATCAAGAGGAAGAGCGACCGAGGGTGGGTTCGAGCGGCACGAAAGGTGTGGGATGATTACCTGAAGGCTGATCCGATCATTGATGTTGAATGTCCCTGCCAGGGCGCAGTCAGCTCTTACTTCCTTGAGCATCTAAAGGTCCGACATTTACGTTGGCTATTCAATGACACCGGTCAGGGCCCTACTGAACCCAACTCAGGCGTTGAATCTGGAACCAAGGTCATCAGGAGGAGAGTGAAGAGAGGCAAATCGCACGTGGACGAGTGACCGCCCAGGAGTTGAGAGGAAAAAGAGAGCACACAGTGCAGAAATGCAAAAATTCTGAAGATTTTTTCAATTTCTAGCTACGTTCCCACGATACCGTCGCTCAAAATTAACACCTTGGGAAATGGAAGTCAAGCCTCTCGAGATGAGATCCGGACTTGGTCAAAATCTTGTGCTGAGGCCGAATAGACAATCGCCAAAGATGTGTCAGGAACCACCAACGAAATGACATTCGTTGGAAGCTGTTTCTCCTTCCCAACTTACACAACTCCATCTAACCTCGAAAATAATACCAGGGCGTACTAGAGGCAGTCGGAACCCGGCTGGCAGCGACGCTGATACCAAAATCCATGTAGCGTCTCATACTGAGATCCAGCACACACGTCTTCCATAGCTACTCGAAACGATGCCATCAGAGAAACCCACTAGTAAGACGAAGCTACATGAGAGCACGGCACTTGCTTGGTTACACGTTTCAAGCTCTGCTTGCCGTAAGTTAGTTACTCAAGGCAGCAGCTCACGATCTCGATAACGTTTCGTCGAGGGTTTTGCGTATGGATTGCACTATCCGTAAATCGAATTGAAACTTCTGTCGAACTTCGTCTTCGATATACAATTGAGTCCACGATCGGAGCATATGAGAGCAAGTTGCAACACTCAAACAAACGATCTCCGAGCTCTGCAACAGGTTCTCGCGGGACCAAAAAGATGTCCCGCGGTGTGATGGAGAACGGATCAGGAACCGGAAAAGGCCCCCTCGCGTCTCATGCGAGGTTGTCATCAATATTATACTGAATTGAGATCGCACCACGATTTCAGTGACCTCTTTTTCAACCTCCTTTGATGAGTGTGGTAGGTACGTAACCAAAATTGGACCGAATTAACGATTGGGGGAGGGCCGTTACGGAAGCTCTCGATATCTTCAAGATGTCAAGTAGCTGGCAATGAGGCAATGCCACCGCACCACTAAAGCTTAAGAGGCGCCTGGAAGATACATTTGTATTATGATATTTTTCCATTTGGGAAGGAGGGCTTTCTGCCTGAAGTAAGGAAGGAAAATATCAGGTTGGTTCACACTTAGCACCCTTGTGCACCTCGGGCTAAACTCCTTGTACACCAGAACGTGTACAATACCAAACACCATTTAATGGAAGTAATTAGACCCACAAACACAAAGATGAGCCGCTTCGCCATCTCCCCAAATGCTTAGCGCCTTCACCGACTCCTGTTGCCATTGGACCGATACGTAAAGACGTTCAGACGAGCGCAAAAGAGAGCTTGCCGTCCATCTTTCTCGTAGTTAGTCCACTGCGAATCTCCCACGAAGATAGACTGATCCCCATACTCGACGCACCATCCCGACTCTTCTTTATACCGCATCCGCTCTGAAGTAACTTC